GTGGGACTAGGCTCATCTCGGTGAATAGGGAAATTCTGCACAGAAAGGGGAGAGGCGATGCAGGGGCATTGGGGGCAGACTATGCTCTCTGTGAACTGTAAAGTCCTTATGCATGCTGTTTGTAATTGATGTTAGAGAGGACAGAACTGTGACTGACAGCAAAGGGACATGGCTGGGCTCTAATGGCTGAGACTATTTTATTTGTTATAAGAGCAAATACACTTATTCATATTATCCCCTTCTGCTGAAGTCACTTCTTTTCAGCATCTGAATAGAATTCCTCTAAACAAAGGCTCTTTAAACACAGATTTATAACCTCTTCTCCATCTGTGGGTGCATTTCCTTGGCCTGCAGAGTCAGGGAGCATCCTGCTGCATAGCCACCTTGTACATCGGCACCCCAATGGGCCATGGTAGTAGTACCCACAGTGGCTCTCTCAAGTGATATTTTCTGGATTCAAGGAACTGGCCCCACAGAGGAGGGAGGGCACAAAACCAAAGAAGGGGCACTTTATGGTCATCAGCCAGTGCTTTGCTTACAAACCCCCCAAAATACGCTGTGATACCAACTGGAAGATTTCTCTTTCACACAGCTGGAAGCAGGTTGGGAAGAGAGAAGAGGAGAACAGGATATATGTGTCAATATGTATGAGAGGAGAGGACACACACACACACACACACACACACACACACACTCATCTTTTTCTGGGAAAAAAAAAAATCAAGGTAAAGAAATCTACAACCAAGAGGGAATAAAACCTGCCTCTCCCTTTCTCCTCCTCTGGAAGTATAATCAGCTCACAAATGAAGGGTCTGGACTTTCTTCCGGTTTGATGAATTTACAAGCAATGGCCTTGGATACAGTTAGTGGCAAAGGTCTAATTCTTTCCTTCTGTCATGCACCTTCTCCCAGGAGGAGCTCCAGAAGTTCATCTCTTCCCAGGATCTTCCTAAACCTCCACAGGGCTAGACAGAGAGGAGGCAATACTCGTTTTTCACATTCTTACTGGGTGGGGGAGGGTGGGGGGGGAAGCCCCAATTTACAAGGTTTAAGGCAAAAACAAAGTGGATTGTGTGACCTCAAATTTTTGTCCAGCCGATCTCCTAAGATAATTTGTAACTGTGGAGGGGAAGAATGCAACAAAAGAATGAAGAACAGGCTCTCCTCTCTGAAAGGTCACAGGGTCAAGTTGACCAGTTCAAAGAATATTCACTGGAGGGGCAGCCCAACTCCAGGACTCTAATCTCAGATCTACCACTTATTAGTTCTGTGAGGTAGGACAAATTTTAAAACATTGCTGGGGCTCAATATTCCCATCTGTCAAAGGAGTTGTTGTGGAGGAGTTGTTGTGGAGATTAAAATGAGAGAATGCACCAGAAAGGGCTTTAATTAGTGCAGGACACATAGTGGGTGCTCAGGACATGGTGAGTTTCCCACAGAGGATATTGTCTTTCCCCTGCTGGGCCAGAACTTACCTCCATGAACTCCATCCCACTGTTTAGCAATACAGCTGACCCTTAAACAACATGAGTTTGAACTGTGCCATCCACTTACATGCGGAGTTTTTCAAATAAATACATTACAGTACTACAAATGCATTTTCTCTTCCTTATGGTTTCCTTAATAACATTTTCTTTTCTTTAATTCACTTTACTAAAGGATACAGCATACAATACATATAACATACAGAGTATGTGTTAATTGACTGCTTATGTTATTGGTAAGGCTAAGGTCAATGGTAGGCTATCAGCAGTTCAGTTTGGGGGGAGTCAAAAGTTCTACTTGGATTTCAGCTGTGCAGGGGGTCAGCTCCCCAACCCCCCTGCATTGTTCAAGGGTCACCTGTACTTGGTTTCTCCACTGACCAGTATCAGTGCTCTCTCCCCTGATGGAAGCTAACAGGAAGTAAAGCTATAGGCAGCAAGGTGCTATCTTGTCTAGCTGGGTTCCAGCACATTGGCCATCTATTCATAATGTCTATTTTCACCATCAGTAGTATAGTGATATGCATTGGTTGATAGGATGTTCCATATGGGAAGCTGGTTTCAGGGACTGTTGCCTGCCATACCCTCAAATTTCCACTTAAGACTGCCAACTCCTTGGGTTATAAACAAGTGAACTGGAAGGAAGCACAAAGACTTTACCCACAAAGGTTTTGTAGTCACAAGGCCAGAAAAGAGCCTCCATGTAAACCCTCCTGTAAACAATACATGGGCTGTATTTTTAGTCCCCAGTTCAACTACATTAAATCCAGCAAGTAACTATTGAGCCCTTGAGGGTCTGTCTGAATGACCAGTTGCTCTGGGCCTTGCCTAAGTTTACCCCAGACATGTAGATACAATTGGAGTCTCACAGTCTCAATATGGGCCTCTTCTGAGCCTGGGAAGCTGCTAAAAATCATCCTTGAACTGGAAGAATGTTTCAGATTCTCAAGTTAGGTCATTTATCTAACTCCTACGTGTTTCCTCACCTTTATTTCAAATAAATCTTACTTCAGGGGAGTACTGTGAACTTAATCAGATAATGGATGTGAGCAAGCCTAGCAGAGACTCCAGGACAGCGTATTTCCCTAAACTTATGCCCAGCATTTGGACCTGGGGTTTCCTTCCACTCTTGCTCCAAGAGAAAGTGAGTACCTTGAAGAATCTATAAAAAAGGCTGGAGATCCTTGATAGAGTCTCCCTGGCACAATCTTTGGATTTCAGCCATCTTTTATATTGTGTAGGCAGCTGCCCTCTTCATGTGATTTCAGGGGGAGCTAAGTAGGACTTCTTACCCACCAGTCCAGCCATGCTATCATCCCACCAATTAGCAAGCCTTCATTGAGAATATCCTTAATGCCAAGGTTGGAAAAGCCAGTAATTAATGGAGTTTAACTACTGGGTGATTAAGTTCTAAGTGGGATACCCTGCCTGGGGATTAAAAGGAACAGTGGACCAATCCTGGCCAATGGCAAGGAGTCCACTCACCACTCATTGGAGAGAGATGTCAGTGGTCATCTGTACCCACCAGATGGCAGCACCATGCAAAGCCTTGGGGCCAGAGGTGTCCATTGGGATTTGGGGACTCCAAAGGGAAAGTGGGCCCTAAAGGTAGAATGACTCAATCCTTGGTCTGGCTTCATGGCAAGTGGGGTTTCCAGAGCCCTAGGAAAAAAGAGATTGTTGGGGCTTCCAGCAGGGATGGATGCAAAGTTCAGAGACAAAGGCTGTGGAGGAATAATAGGAACAAGATTGGATTCTTCCAAGCCACAGGACTGAGATGTCACTGAAGGAAGGCACACTTCTGGGAGTGGGGGGAAGTGGAAAGGTGAACAAAGAGAAGAATGTTTGTTTAGTACCTACGCTGTGTCAAGTCTAGTGTTTTTCATGTTATCTCTTGAACACAGACTAGGGAGCCAAATAGCTAGGCTCATAGTCCACGTCTGCCATTTACTTACTATGTTCTTGGGCAGGTTACTTAACCAGTCTGTGCCTCAGTTTTTTTACCTGAGAAAATGGGGAGAAAACTGTTGTTTTGAGAATTAGATGAATTCATGTATATAAAGCACATTAAATGCACTCTATAAGTATTAGTTCTATAAAGTGTTAATACTATCTCTGATCAACAAAGTATCTGAAAGGCAAATGAAAGGAGAGAAGACAAGCCACCAGAGGGAATTTTCCTCTAACTAGGAGCAAAGGGTCCTAGAAATAGACATTTGGCTCTTATTTTTTTTTTCAAGTTTATTTATTTATTGGGGAGGAGGGGAGGGGCAGAGACAGAATCCCAAGCAGGCTCCCCACCATCAGTTTGGAGCCCCATGTGGGGCTCGAACTCACGAACCATGAGATCATGACCTCAGCCAAAATCAAGAGTCACATGCTTAACCAACTGAACAATCCGGTGCCCCGGCTCTTCTTTCTTTACCTTATTGAAGAACC